TGCCTCTACCATGCTGTCCCCCTATTTTCCCCCTTCCCCACCCCACCCCCACCTTCTGCCTTCCAGTTTGCAGTGCTGGAGTCGGTGATTGGGCCCCAGAAATCCCCGCAGCCCTGGCCCCAGCTGCTTCCCGGGCTCCAGACCACTGGACGGGCCTGGAACTCGGTCACGAAGTGCAACTCTGGGCCAGGAGGTTTTAAAGTCCTGGGCCGTGATGTCATGCCACACCCAAGCATCTCCCCTCTCAGCTGTTGCACGGCATTTGAGCATGCTCTCCCTCAGCCCCAATGTATCCCGTACATGGCCAGCACTGGGGAATTTAAAGTGTGGGGCTGTGGCGCCCTGTCACAATCCCCCACCTCCTCCAGCAGCCACCAGCCAGCCCTTTGGTCAGCCCTTTGGAGGACGGCCCACTGGGAAATTCCCGGTATCCCGCCGGGTCAGTCCGCCCCTGTATGTTCCTTTTTGAAATCCTGTCCTCCCTTAGATGATGTGTTTCTACCCTCTTCTGGTTCTCCTCCTATATTTGTAGTTGTTCCTTCAATATCTTTTTCAATGAGCCATCCTCCCCGCAGTTTGCATGGGAAGTTTTTAGAAACATGTAGGTGCAGTATGAGGAAAATTCAGGTACCAGAGTCATAGCTTACACAAGTTTGTACCTCTTTGTCTGAGGTTTTGTTCTGAGAAATAAAAGAGAGAGATTTAAATCTCAGTTCCAGTTTGTTTCAACCCCTCCAAGCATGGGAGAGGATTGTTCAGATAAACAGCTCTACTTTTGAGTGGCACTGAGCATAGGTGCTCATTTTGCCGGGGATGTATGACCTTCCACCCCTCCCCCCCACCACTTTAGGTCCCAGCCTCACCCTAAAACCCTGCCTCACTTCTTCCTGCCCTAACTCCACCCCTGCCCTACCTCTTCTGTCTCCTCTGCTGAGCATGTCCCATCCCCACTCCTCCCCACCCTCCTGGAGCTTGAATGTAATGCTGTAAATCAGCTGTTTGCAGCACTCTGAAAGTGCTGGGAGGGAGGGGAAGGAGTAGGTAAGCACAGAGCTTCCAGCACACAAGACATGTAGGCAGATGGGACAGAAAGCAGCTTGGTGCAGCTTGACACCGGTGGGTACTCTGCACCCACTAATTTCTCCCCATGTGCAGGTTTAATTTTGCAGCCGCCCCATAGTTCTATAGGTTCCAACTCCGTGGGTGCTAAGTCTTATACAGCCCACATGGGTGCCTAACTATTGAGCCATTGGCTATTCTAAGATGGGTCTGTGTGTGTGTGATTTTTCTCCCACAAAATGTCAAAAGGCCTGGTTTTAATTAGGATGCAAAAAATCATAGCTTCCTAACCTCACCATCTTTTGAAAGATGGAATTCTTGTTTTCTAGTTTTGACCTGCCTCTCATGATTAATACTAATGTGAGCTCTCTTATCGATTACCAGACTTACTATTGCTTTTTCACTGACTGTACCTCACAGACGAGGCAGCTTTGCCTCAGTACCGGCTTGTTCAAGTGGTGTGCAGCAGAAAACCTTTTGCTTGTGAGCTCAGGTTACTCATCATATATATGTGCAGGCTTAATTACGAGAAAAACCGATACCCAAGACACTTTTAATTAATGCCTTAAGTCAGGTATAAACCAGAGCTCCAAAGATGAAAGCCCAGTGATTTTCTACATCACACATTCCCACTGAGCCACAGGTTCAAGGGCATGAGTCTTACCTGCTTCATGCACAGCTTTGGGAATTACTCTCTTGACTGCTGAGATTCTCGTATTATCAACATTAAAGTGTTTTTCTCCAAGCACCGTGATACACTTTCATGTTTAAATACTTTTAACTTGTTCACTTTATAAGAATTGATTGAACCTTTTAGACCTGCAAGGAGGGTGTTTTGCATATTGAAAACTTAATCCTGTATATAAATCTTTCTGTCTCCATAGGGCTCCCTGTGGGAGAGGTATTGTACATTTATTCAGATTCTAGTAGGTTCACCCTGGAATATTTTGATAATCTGAGGGGCTACAGAGAAAGAAGTGGTGTTACTTTTAACTTAAATTTTCTATTACAGACCAGGAACAATTAGCAGTTTCACACCTTCTAAAAACATTGTCCATTTTCA